GGTGGTTTCATGCCCGGTGGTCGGGGTCGTGGCTTCCCTGCGGGCAATATTCAGCACCAGTCTAATTACCCTCCGAATGCTAACTTTCAATCCCAAAATGCCCCTAGCTTCAATTCTGACCTAGCACCCCAGTCCCAGGAAGGTATATCAGCAGAGGATCCGAAGATGGACGGGGATGATCTCCAGAAACAACAGGATGAGAACGACGGCACAACTGCCGCTTCAGATCCGGTCCCCAAAGATACCAATGCCACCGAAAACCCTGGCGAAACCCCAGAGACTGCGGCTCCTGATGACACTGCTGCGGATGCCCCCACGGCAGAGGACACGCAGCTGCGCGGCATCCCAACCATCGACAGTCTGGATCAAGCCAATGCCGCTCAAGGCATGATGTCAGGTCCAATGGGAATGGGTGGGCACATGGGACAGGGCTATGGACGAGGCGGCGGTTACATGCGTGGGGCATACCACGGAGCTCGAGGCGGCGGCTTTGCTGGCGGCTACATGTCCGGATCCAACATGTCTCCCATGCCCCGAGGACCTGGTGTCGAAGGTGCACCTGCTGCCCCCAGAGCCATGAGAGAGGGCCTTCCTAACACTAGCGTGCTGCGACACCGTAATTTCCAAGGATTAGGATCCTCACGGTCGTCCGTGCCTCCTGTGAGACCTTCAGAACCCACCCAAAGGTGAGTCGAGGTCGTATGACTGTATTCCGTATATTCTTGACTGTTCGCAGTCTGACATATGTTTTTTAGCGCCACTCCCATGACTACACAAGAAACTCCAGATGCGGGTTCAAAATCGCCGTCTAAGTCACGCGTTGAGTCACCGTCCAGACCAGGAAGCAGATCCCGGTCCCCCGCTCAGTCTCACCCTGATAAACGCCGTCAATACCGTCAACGCTCCGCTAGCGTCGACGGCGCAGCAGAAGACACCGATCGTCGTTCTGAACGGCAGAGAACAGCCCGCCATCGTGAGGAACGGCGTGACGAGCAGTCCGCCGCCGACGAGGACCGGCGCTCGCGATCGCCATCCCAAGATTCCCGTCGTTCGTCACGGCGCAGGGATCGAGAGCGCGATCGACGAAACGCCCGCCGATCCCACCGCTCGCATCGTCACCGCAGTGCCAGCCGCGATGGGGATCGCCTCGCGCGCATCCCGGAGGAAAATGGAACGACTTCTCGGAGTAAAAGCCCCACCAGCGGTGACCACGTGGAGGGCTCTCGAAGCCATCGATCGTCGAAAGACCGGCCCAGTCGCCGCGAGGACGAACGGGAAAGGGACCGGGATAGAGAAGGCAAGCGTCGCGGTCGAGACCGAGCCGGTGACCGAGAGCGCGATCGCGATCATGACAGACATAGAGATAGAGACCGAGACCGTGAAAGAGATAGAGATCGGGATCGCTATCGGGAGCGAGACCGAGACCGCGACCGCGATAGGAAAAGATCTCGTCGAGACCGCACCCAGTCCCCCGCCGGCAGTGATTATTCTTCCCGTCACCACTCGCGGCGCGTCAAAAGAAACCATGACGACGAGGTTCGCAGCAGTGAGCGCGACCGTCCCCGAGAAAAGGCCTCTTCGTCCAAACCGGCCGAAACCCAAAAAGACCCAATTACCCTTGAGCGTGAGGCCCGCAATCGCGAGCGCATGCTGAAAGAGCAGCAGCGTCGCGAGGCCGTCCAGGGCGACGGTGGCAGCAAATCCGGCCGCAGTCGCCGCGACAGTCGCCAGGATCGCAGCACCCTAGCTAGCGGCCGACGGTTCAACTACAAGTACGAAGACGAGGAGACTAATGTCGCTCGCGCTGCACGGGTGGAGAAGGAGCGCGAAGCCAATCGATGGGCGTGAAGTACATACCATAATACCTGTATCTCTTTTGGTTGGAGTCATGTTATCCCGTCTGGCTACTTTGTGTTTCTACCACATCGTCTCTTGCCCGTTTTCTTCAGCATATAGAGGGGATGCGCCTCTCATTGGTTTGATTTTGCCTTTTGCATGGATGGAAAGCATTTTCATACGAAGACTCATCAATACTTAGTTAGTGTAGATAGATATTATACGGATCACTAAAATCAATCCTTTTTATCTTGATTATGCTTTTTGGATGTTGTACTTGGCGTGTAAGTATATTAGTTTAGGTACGTCTGGGCAGCTGTATGTATGTATGTATGGGCTCTGTACTCGCCCCAGGATACCCCCGGCCATCTATCTATCATCCGCTTTAGTCCATGTTCGAAATTCACAATGCCTGGCGTTTTCAAGTACAAGTACAGAGTTTCCCGTCTACATGTCCAACAAGCACAACTAGACTCGGACGCAAAAGTGGTATTTCCATTGACATTGCAATCATGCTGCCAGGCACAAAGCAGAATGTATAACAAGCAGATTTGGCTATTGACAAAACAGACACACACACACACACACACACAACACAGGACAAAACACAAAAATTGAAAGTCGCAATGAAAACTTCTTTTCAACCGGCTATAACCAATTCATCACATACAATACAACGCAGGTTAAATACAGATGGTATGAAATAGATAGGCTAGCCCAGCTTGGCCTTGAGAGATTCGATCTCTGCGGTCAGGTTCTGCATCTGCTGTGCCTGCGTGGCGATCGTCTTCGTCTGCTCGGCAATAAGGTCCTTGATCGCGCTCATTTCGCGCGACACTGTATCCGCCGACACGGTGACTGTGCTGGCAGTTGTAGTCACTGGTGTAGTAGCGGTGGGGGTGCTGGCAGCGGGGGTGCTAGGAGCAGGGGAGGAGGCCTGGATGCGAGTTAGTGTTTTACTCACCAATGTGGCATGGAGGTCAAAGACGGGGGATGGGTATACCACGGGCGCGGGCTGCGACTTCGTTTCTTCCTTCTGGTGCCATGGGCTGGTCTTGACGGGAGATGGTGCTACTTCGGGGGAGCGGACAGCTCGCTCGACCGGTTTGGGGGCCTCGTCAAAGCTGGAGTCTTCCTGGACGGGCTCGGCGTCCGAATCATCGGCAAACTTGTTGACCATGGCGGCCATGGAAGCGCCCTGCTCTTTCATAGAGGGAGCAGGCTTCACGACGGGCGTCGGTTCTGGGGTTGGCTCCGGAGCCTTCTGCACTGGCGTTGGCTCGGTAGGTTTGGGTGCAGCTTCGGGCTCGGGCTCAGGGGCGCCCATGGTGGCCGTAGGCTTGTCTTGCACACCGGTCACTTCCTTCAGGCCCTCCCCTTCGTACAAACTGGCCATGGAGATCTTCGGCGGAATGGCTTCCTTGCCCTCAAGCCATTCGGCGGGACCCATCGCGGGAGTGAGACCGATTGTTGGTGGGTAGATATCGTCCTGGAAGGTCTCTGCGCGACGGGGCACGATAAAAGAGATGGGTTCGATATAGCTGTCGGCGCAGGTCTTGTAGGCCCGAGTAACTTCGTTATCGTGCATGTTGACGCCACGCTTGGGCATAAACGCGATACCGCGCTGAGGATCGGCGGACTTATACTCAGCCAGATACTCAAACTTGTCGTTCTCCAGCTCGAAGTAGCGAATGTTACCGTCGCCCCGGCCGGCCAGGTAGAGCATTTGAGTGCCATCATCCCAGAATGGCATACAGACACCTGAGATGGAATCCAAGGTCTTGAAGCCATTGATGGGTTCCCGCGGGGCGCGAATATCCCAGAGAGCCAGCTGGCGATCACTCATTTTCGAGAAACCGGTGGTTGCAATCCTGTCGCGCTCACCAAGCCATACCGAACGACTGCTCTTAGCACCAGAGTGGCCCTGTGTCTCGTGGGCCGGACGTTCCTGACGCACATCCCAAATGCGCAGCTTCTTGTCGCGGGAGGTGGTGACGAGAAGGGAGCCATTGGCACTCCATGACTGCGATTGCACAATATCGCCCAGCTGCAAAGTCAACTTGGGGGCCCCAGCCTCGATATCCCAGATCTTCACCGTGAAGTCTCCAGATGCGGTGGCCAAGATATTTTCAGCGGCGGGGTTGAAGAGGACATGTCCGACTTTTCTATGATATCATTAGAGGGAAGATGGGAGGGCGATGGGATGAAGATGGAGGGGTGGGGAAACGGACTTGGGGTGGCCGCTCAATTTGCCGACGGGAGAGATATCGCGGACGTCATCGGGGGCGACGTCGGGGGTGACGGTGAAGTCGTCTGGAACCCGCCAGAGAAAGACCTTGCCGTCGTCGGAACCGGAAGCGATCAGGTCGTCATTGAAGGGGTTCCTAATATTGATTGGTTCATTATATGCCCATTGCTGAGAGGGTTGTTTACATGGGTAAATCTCACCAGTCAGTGTCCAGGACAGCGGCGGTGTGGCCGCGGAAGAGGGGGATTCTCTCCGGGAGCTTGCCTCGCTCATTGAGCGGCAGGACAGCAAAGGCACCGCCACCACCGGCTTCCCAGTTCACAGAGAGCCATTTAGGGTTGACCTGGAGGGGAGCGAGCGGAAATTAGGCGAAGGATCTTCAGAATTGGAGAAGGGGTGTGATTGGTAGGTTGGTAGGTTGGTAGGTAGCTGGATTTGTTTCAGGGGGCGGACCTTGACAAGGTTGGTATCCCAGGCGTTATTGGAGATGTGGAGGTTATCGAAGCATTGGTCCTAGAGTATATGTTAAATCAAGAAGAGAGAAAGAAAAAAGAATCGGATCATACCTTTCTAGTCGGGCGTCCAAAGACGTGACCTAATTAGAGGGAAGTTGATACCTGTCAGATTGCGGGCAAGAGAGAGAGAGGGAGAGAGGGAGGGAGGAGAAGTAGAAGCTCACGGTATTTGGAGGAGCGGACAAAACGACCCGACATGATTGAGGAAGAAGGGTCAGAAAGAGGAGAGAGAGAGAGAGGAGGGGGGAGAGGGAGAAGCTGGTCGGAGGAGAAGTGGAAGTAGTAGAGAGAGGAGGGAGTAGTGAATGAGGAGGAAGAAGGAAGAGAGAAACAAAGAGGGAAGCCGAGTAGAGCAGACGAGGAGGAAGGAGCAAGTCCGAGTATAGATGGGAAAAAAATTAAGCCCCCACCGAGGATCGAACTCGGATTGCAAGATTAGAAGTCATGAGTGCTGCCATTACACCATAGGGGCAAAAGACTGGAATTACGGTCCGGATTTTGGTTACTCATGCCTGCCACTGACGGCACCCTGCATTGCGTATGGTATTGTATTTCCTGACTCAGCAGGCTTTGTTTACCGCCCGCCGTCACTCCAGAAACGAAGCAACAACGCTGGATCCAAATAAGACCTAAACACCATCATCATCACCCGCATATCCAACCGCATCCTGCGCCCTTTTGTCCGCCTGAGATGCCGCCATCTCCTGTGTACCTCCCTTAATTGTTCCTGTTCCACTGGACCATTGTTATCAACCTCTCAATCACCAGGCGACAACCATCGCTATTCCTTGTTGTCGCCCACCCGACCAACCCTTCTATCGCAATCAATCTCCTGACGACAATCTCCACCATGGACTATGAGAACCCAGTATTTCCTCACCGTCTTTAATTCCCCGCCCATCGCACCTGGCTAATCATATTATAATAGATGCAGCAACGATCTCCCACTCGCTCGCGCATTCCCACCGCGGGCCTGAGGGAGATGAATTCTTCCAACACGAACGCTCGTTCGGGCATTCTCCCCCCCGGCTCTATCGCCAACAAACCCTCCAGTCTGGCGCGTATGTGGAATCCAACTGCAAGGGCAGTGGGACAATCATTGACAACAGTCGCAGAACCCACCCGCACACGAAGCACCACCCAAGGCCCAGAGTCTGCGCGATCCGCCGCACTCGCAACATCTCGTCCCGCTTCAGCCGCTGCGAAGGTCCATAGCCGAACCAACTCCTACGCATCATCGACACTGACCCGATCTGCTACCACCGCCTCACGCAGTGCTAAAGGCACCTTCTCTTCCACCGTCGGCCCTGGCGGTCGCACACCCACTGGAGCTTCCCGTCCACACCCGTCCCTCACCAGCGCCCGGAAACCCCATGGCGCCGCATTGCCCCGACCCGCAACATCTTTGGATACCCACATGGAAGAGGACACAAGTGTGCTCGGAAAACGTAAGGGTAGGCAACCATCTTTCCCTTCTGCTTCCCCTCTCATTACCCCATCCTGCGCGAATACATGGACTCCACCGCGTGCGATAAAAGAGGATACTTCCCAGGACTCCGCGGGACATGGCTCGTCCAATCCCAGTCCCATTTTCCCCTCTGGTCCCATCCATTCTTCCCCTCCGTCAACTCCCTCCAAACCCCCCAGGGAAGGACCCCCGCCATCCGTCAAGTATTCCCCCAGGCGGAAACCTCTCCCATTGCCCAAATTTCTGAATAAACATTCTTCGGTCACCTTATTTAACTCCTCTGCAGGTGCCGAATGGGATCATGAATCCCGCGAGAAAACTATGGAAGAGTTCTTCAGCACTTTCATGTCCCGTGTCAGCCAGGCTGGCCAGGAAAGCTATGGCCTGAAGGAGACAGTCGACCTGTACAAGTCGCGAGGTAAGGTGTAGCAGATACAGAGCCTACTCGTCCCGTTTACTAATCTGTGGTGTGATAGTGAGCGAGTTAGAATCCTCCCGGAGAGAGCTCACCGACGCCAACGTCTCTTTGCGCGTCGAACTCGAATCCTTTAAAACTCACCTTGGAGCCGCAGAATTAACCCTCAAAGACGCACAACGGGAGCATGAAATTGCGGTCGACGATCTATGCAGTCGCCAACGCGTCGACATAGAAACCATCCGCCAAGAAGGCAAGAAGGAGCTCGACGCACTCCTGGCGCGACAGGAGGACGAAATTCGGGAGGTGAAACGACGTTGTGACCAGCAACTTGATCACGAAAAGGCAGCACGGCTGAGTGAGCTGAACCAGCTTTCTTCGCAGACCGCTCTAGATACCCAAAAGGCCCAGGTGGACATGGAACGCAAAGACCGCAAGATTTCATCATTAGAGCATACGATCCAGGTGCTCCGACAGGAGGTAGAGCGGGAGCGCAAGTCCAAGGAAGATCTTCGACAGAACCTAGACACTGCCAGCACTAATAGCATCACCCTAGAGTCATCCATCCGGGCCCTCAAAGCAAGAATCGAGTTCCTGGAATCGGGACGAGAGGAACAGTCCCAGTCCTTCGAGCGTCTCAACCAGCAAATGATGGACGCCCTGGCTGAAACCAACGCCACCAAGGAGAAGCTGCGGAAGGAAGAAACCCTCCGACGGAAGCTGCACAACCAAGTCCAGGAGCTCAAGGGTAACATCCGAGTGTTTTGTCGAGTCCGCCCATCCCTCAAAGTTGAGGCCGACACTAGCGTCGCCGAGATTCAGTACCCTGACGAGGCCGAAGACTGCAAGGAGATTAGTCTAACGGGGCCTGAGGAGAAGAGTAGCCTGGGAATGGTTTCCAGAAAGAACAGCAATTTCGCCTTTGACCGGGTGTTTGGCCCCTCGACCCAGAACGCCGAAGTGTTCGACGAAATCAGCCAATTGGTGCAAAGTGCACTGGATGGATACAACGTGTGTATCTTCTGTTACGGGCAGACCGGCAGTGGTAAAACCCACACGATGTCCTCTCTCGACGGCATGATCCCTCGCGCGGTCCACCAGATCTATGAAACGGCCACCACGCTGGAAGAGAAGGGTTGGAGTTACACGATGGAAGGCAATTTCGTGGAGGTGTACAATGAGAATCTGAACGATCTTTTGGGTAAGGCAGAGGAGCTGGACAAGAAGCGGCATGAGATCCGCCACGATATGCAGCGCGGCAAGACCATCATCACCGATGTCACGACCGTTCGTCTGGAATCCCCCGAGATGGTCGAGACTCTTCTCAAGCGGGCGGCCGCCAACCGGTCTGTTGCCGCGACGAAAGCCAACGAGCGATCCTCCCGGTCTCATTCCGTCTTCATCCTCAAGCTCATCGGCGAAAACCGCATCACTGGCGAGCGCAGTGAGGGAACTCTCAACCTGGTGGATTTGGCTGGAAGCGAGCGACTGAGCCATAGTGGCGCCACCGGCGAACGGCTGAAGGAGACCCAGAACATCAACCGCAGTTTGAGCTGTCTGGGTGATGTGATTGCCGCGCTCGGACAAGGCAAGGAAGGTGGACATATTCCATACCGGAACAGCAAGGTTTGTTTCTGCCCCCATAAAATTTCCTTTCATGGTGGTCTACTCACTGACTCTTGATCTAGCTTACATACCTGCTTCAATTCTCTCTTGGGGGCAACTCCAAGACTCTGATGTTTGTCATGGTCAGCCCCCTTCAGGCTCACCTGGCGGAGACCTTGACCAGTCTCAAGTTCGCTACAAAAGTGCACAACACTCACATCGGCACGGCGAAGCGACAAGCCCGTGTTCGTGATACCTAGACGATACTTTTTCTCTTTCCCTTTGTTTTCTTTTCTTCCCTTTCTGGATGTGACGGATCGGTCTTTATGAACCAGACCTTGATTAGCTGGTGTTTGGCGTTTTCTTCTTGACGATAACCCCCTCTGGAGTGTTGGACATCCCCATAAATAGTCTCTGGACCTGCAGTTAGCCTGATAATCAAATGTAGATTTTGCACATATCAATCATACCATTTGCCCCTACTTACTCCTCCTCCCGTAGAAACTCGACTATATCTCTTATTGTCCTCTCCCTCTGTTCAATCCACGGGAAATGCCCACAGTCCTCATAGACCCGGACGCGCGAGTTTGGAATCCCCCGCCTCGTGCGTTCTCTAATGTCCCGTCCGCACACCCAGTCACTGGCCCCCGAGATCATCAGCGTCTTCGCCCGCACCATCCCCAGTCTCTCCACCATCTCGCTCGGACTGCTTCTGCTACTGGTGCTGGTCCTCTTCTCATCACACCCATACACACTCTGATACAACGCCAGCGACAGCACGCGCCCCTCCCCAATCGCCCTCCGCAGCTCGCCCACATACCGCGCCGGATCATGCAAATACTGAGGCCACATGGCATCCACCGCCTGCGAGAACGATTCGTCCGTTTCACCGAATCCATTCTTCTTTTGCTTCTTCTTTTTCTCCTTCTTCCGCCCCATCAACTCCTCCTCCTTCTCCTTCTCCTTGGTATCAACCCCCTCCATCCCCTCCCTAACCCCAATCAACTGATGATTCAACAGAACCAACTTCCGCACTCGCTCCGGATACATCTCCGCATACCCGAGGGCGATCGCGCCCCCGTTCGAATGCCCCACCAGCCCCTCGAAGGTTTCCAGCCCCAGGTGGAGTCGCAGATCCTCAAGGTCGGATGCCAGGTCCGGCATGCTGCTCATGGCGGTTGGTGTGGCGAGGGTGCTGCCCTCTGTGCCCCGGGGGTGGAAGAATATGCAGCGGTAGTTGTGGGTGGTGTAGAGGGCGCGGAGGCCTGTTTGGAGGTATTGGGAGCCGAGGCCCCAGGCGGGACATTGGATGATTAGGGTGGGTTGAGCTTGGAGGGTTTTGGTGGCGTGGACGATGTAAGTGAATGTGAGGTTTTTGGAGGGGGAGAGGAAATGGTGGAGGCCTGAGGAAAGGGGGGATGTCATCATGATGTTGTAGATGTTGTAGATGTGGAGGTGTGGAGATATATAAAAATGGAGATGTAAGGATTAACTCACAAACTCTAACTTATAAAGCCATTCACATTCAACCTTAGTCAGAACTTACTTTGAGAACATAACTATGGTTATATAGTATGATTATTATTGTTATTATTATTAGTAGTAGTCGAGTCCTGGTACAAATCAGACTTATATTTTGAATATTATACTTCGCCATCATTAAACAATTCGTGGTGAAGGAAATATATATATGGTTGTAAACGTCGTATAAAAACAAGCTTCTCAATTAGGTATTTTGCAGAAGATGGAATCTTACAAACTAGATGAATGATATATTAATCAAAATTAAAATTAAAATTAATTTACAGCTAAGGCAGACCGGATTTTAGCCCCTTCTTTGACCCCTTTTCTCAGCGGTTAATGGGGGTTAGTGGTTGGTGGGGGTGAATTATGAGGCTCGTGGGCTGAAGAATTCGAAGATGCTAAAAGATGACCAACGTTTCTTCAGGCGACGATCAGCCTTGAAAATGGTGCATCAAACTTG